ATTTCTGGGGGGGCAGGGGGGGAAGAGCTAAATCAGATTTTCAGGAGAATGGGCCTCTGTTCCAGAGGATATTTCACCAGGACAGTGGACAACTTGGGGTTCACTGCTGGCATGAAGGTCATCTCTGAATTGCATGTTCTCCTGGAAGGAGTAATTGATGCAGATCACCCAAAAAATCCCTGTTTTTCCCTCAGCTTTTGGCTGATGGTGCCTCGTGTTTGCTTTCCCTGACATCTGGCAGTGGTTTAAACACTGACTCATATTCTGTCCTTAGTCAAAAAACGTCAGGAGAAGTGGCTTTCACAGTGCAAATTTTCATCTGGTTGAACCTTTCCAGTAATTTTCATTTGAGAAAATGGAATATTCCTGGGTTAGAAAATCAGTGACCATTTCCCAAGCACTTTTCAGTGCTCTGGTTTATCCATCCCTGTGACTGAAGTGTTCACTGCACAAGAGGGAAGAAAACACACTTTTTACTTTTTATTTTCTGAGCCAGTGTGACTCTGCAGCCTAAATTTATTGTTTGCTCAGGGCTGTGCACAAAAATGGTGCCTAAAACAGGACCAAGGAGCCCAAATCTAGTCCAGGATCAGTCAGTCCCGGGTTTGGTTTTTGATTTTGTGCTTTGGCCAATTGTCACAAAAAGGGAAGGCGTCCAAAAAGGACTCCCCCTGTCCTGCTTTTCGAGGCCTTTCTTCCCCAAAAAGGACTAAACTCTCACATAGAGTCCATTTATTCACCAGTTGTAATAAAGGAATGGTCAGAAAAGACCATTAATTATTACCTTATTCCATGGCCAATAATTTTTATCTTATTCCATGACCAATATAATCCAAATCAGGCTCTACCAGGTGATGTGTGGATGTTTTACAGCCAAGCTTGGTTTTAAAACCCTCCCATACATAATAATTATAATTTTAGAGTGTTATTGTTGCCCTGAGTGACCCATAAAGATGAGAAAGAATATGGAATGTGATGAAATTAAGATAATTCCCCCCCTTGGTTTACAGTACAAAAATTTTATTTTTTTTTTTTGTTAGGATAATTTAAAGTTTAAAACTGAAGTAGACATAATTCATTTTACAAACAAGATATTCTTCCATAAGTAGGACCGTTAAAAACAGTAAACAAAACAACAACAACAACAAAAAAAAACAACCCCCAAAAAAAGCCTATCTTTACAAAAGCTCTGTGCATAGCAACTTCATACTGTGGATAACTGACAAAGCAAAGAAACCAAAAAAAAAACCAACCAGCCAACCCCAAAACCAACCCCAAAACTATACAGGAGGGAGAGAAATGAGGCCTTAATTTACAGGAGGTTTTGGAAAAAACCATGCATTTTGGAAGTGTGCAAAGAAATAGGGGGGAGTAAGATGCTCTACCAAGATAAATAAGGAAATCAAATGTACCCTTCCAAAGTTCTGGTAAAATTTGCAGTCACCTCTTGTGACACTTTCACCTTTCTGGTGGCAGAGAGGAAAGTCTCGACAGCAAGAACTAAAAGAGGACAGATTTGCTCATTACACTGAAAAAGAAAAAATCCCTACACATCAATTTTTACATTATTATTTTTTTTTGTCCCTTTTGTTGGGTGTTTTGCCAGTGCCAAAGTCCTCCTCTCATGGCTGAGGATTGGATTGATTTATTTACACACCTTTTTCTCTGGGAAGTTCCCAGTCAGTTCTCCCCTTCATCACCTCCAGCACCACGATTTCCACTCCTGAGCAAAACTCACGCTCTAAATCACCCCTATATTTAATTATTTTCACTTTTTTTCGGCTCAAATCAAACCAGGAGAAGCCATTTTTCCACGTTTGCATCAACACTCGTGTCTCTTCCTGCAAAAACTTGGAGCAGCTTCCTAGGGAGGTTTTCTTTTCCCCCTGTGGCAACTTGAGCAACTGGACAGAGCTCATAAAACCAACTGGAGTGTGACAGGAATGTGGAATGTTTCAGGAACTTTCCTTGTTTTGGTTTTTTTTTTTTTTATTGCCAGCCTGTAAATTTTTCCCCCTGAATCTTCCCAAGCCTTCAGTGATGTGGTGGATCTTTTTTTTCACATGCTGACTAAGCAATGATCAAAAAAGAAAGGCTGGACGATGAACAAAAGAGGTTTTTTTGCCATGAAATATCTCAAATTTTTTAAATTGGAAATCCTTCTGATTGAGATTTTGTAATGAAAGTCTTATTTGTTAAAAAAACAAAAAAAACAAAAAAAAACAAAAAAAAAAAGTAGCAGGGGGTCTAGAAATTTCTGTTGGTCTGGAATGTTTGTTGGACTTGGAATTTTGAATCTGTTTGATGATAAATTTTAAAAGTAGCCCGTGCAGAGCAGGGCAGGGGGGGGAAAAATCCAACATTGTAATGCTTTGGAGCTGTTTGGGGTGTTTTGGTAGGTCAAAATATAAAAATGAGCCTGATCCAAGATAATTTTTTTAAATTTAGGGCTCAATTCTCACTGAAATTTATGGAAGGTTTAATCCCAGCTCTACTAACCCTCAATCTGGGTTTTATGCCCAAACATGAATTCAGACCTCCCAGTCTCACTGGGATGTTGGTACCTATGAATGTATGAAATATTTTGGGGGTTTGGAGGGGTTTTTGTGGCTGTTTTGCTGTTCTGAACACCCACGAGCAGGTCAGACCCTGTGCTATCAAAGGTCAACCTGCAGTGACAGCTCCAGGCTTCCCAACACCTGGGATTCCTTCATATTCCAGGGATCACTTGGCTTTGGGGTTGCTGGCTGCCCCATCCTTGATGGCACAAAGAACCCACAGTGTCAATCAGAAAGCTGAAATTCTTTTATTTCATCTTTTTTCTGGAGTGCAGACACTTGGTGCAGCCTGGCTGGAAGCCCCTAACTGTGTTCATGCTGCTTAAAAACACATTATTCCCACCAAACCTCCCTAAAATCACTTCTAATCTGATATGATAGACCAGGCCATGGGTTTTAGAAGACAATAAACCCACTGCCCCCTTTTAAAATGGAATATAACAGCACTGAGAAGGCACCTCAGGAAGACCCCACCAAACCTCCCAACCCAGCCAGGGATAGAAAATTCCTTCCCAACAAGTGGAACATCTTCAAGAAGGAGCAGAGCAGCCCAGTTTGTCTCTTCTGCCCTGCTTAAGGAACACATCCTTGTGCTTCCTAAATCCATTTAAATCCATTAAATACATGTCTCCCATCAGCTGGGAAAAGGGGGAGTTGTCCCAGCTCCACCATCCCACGTCCAGAACATCTTCTCCCACAGCTAAGGATCACCAAGGACACAATTTTCCTCACCCATCCCTAAAACTCCTGGGCACATGGACAAGCACAGGTTCAAGGGGCCATATGAAGATTTATTTATTAACATCCAGGCATTTCCATAGGGACAGCTCTCCATGGGAACTGGGGGGTTTTGGTGGGGTCTCTGCAGTGGAACTCATTTTTTTTTCCTCCACTAAAACTGGCTTTCCAACAATCCAGTGCTTTTGAGTGGTTTAGTCAGATAAGCAGTGATTTATTTTATCAGACTGGTTCTCACCTTCCAATTTCAGGAGAGGAGATGCAAAGGAGAACTAAACTTGTGTTGTGTTTGGTTTTTTTTTTTAACCCTAAAATGCAGAAAAATCCAAAGCAATCGATTACCTCTATGAACTTCAATATATAACTGGAAAATACTTACCATTTTTAATGACTCAGGATAAAAGTGCATATATTATTCAAATACATATTCACCCTTGATAAATGCACCCTTTAATATGAAGTATAACTGAACTTAAGGTTCTAACTACATGGAAAACCCCGGAGAACCCTTTCCCTCCTAAATTCATACACTGAATCTCTAAAATAATCTCAGTACCTCATGAAAAAACCCCATCCATTCAAATCCCAAAGTGCCACTCACTCACCACTTGGGGCTTTGAGACTTTTTAGCAGTTCATCTCAGTACCTGAATATTTTTAATTGAGACAAAAAAATCACGAGGGGGGGGGAAGATGAGGAGGGGGAAAAATTCATACATGGATTAAAACCACAATGCCTGGAAAAGTCTGTGATGGTTTTTGTTCACCAGAAAGAATCCTATACATCCTTGCACATGAATTCAGTAAGGGGGGGGGGGAAAGTGAGGAGCAGTTGCAGCAGTAATAATAATATCTCAAACTTATCACTACATTTTTGCATCATCTTTCTTCATTGTACAGCTGGAGGAAAAAATCCAAAAAAGGGTTTTAATTTCTACCTCTACATACAATAAGTTACAAGTTTATTTATTTAAATAATTGTAAAACATCTTACATTTTTTTTTTAAAGAGGTTAAACTATAAGCAAATACACACATACACCAAAGTTCCATCATTCATGTCAGTTTGTCCTAGAAATTCTTTCATGCTGGTACCCTGTTTTGTTGAATTGTTTGTGTTTTTTTCTGCATAAACTAAATCGATATCTGAAAGGCTCCATAGAAAATAGAAACTTCAGCTTTTTACCCCTACAAAGTAAAACAAATTGTATCCAAAATATCAAGCTTGAATCGTGTTTTTTTGCCAATTTCTTTTTTTTTTTCTTTTTTTTTCTTTTTTTTTTCCCTTTGAATATTTTACAAATCTCAGGAAGGTTTTCTTTGTCTTCCAGGAAAGACTTTGCATTTCTGATTCCGTTCTGCTGACTCTTGTTCATCCTGGCTCTGGCTGATTCTTCCTTCACAATGTTTGAAGAGTTGATGTGGTTGTGTCAGAAACGTTAAACAGGTAAAAGATGCAGATTTCTGTCTTGTCCAATCCATAAAAAATGTTTCTTTTTTTTTTGTTGGTTCATTTTTTGTTTGTTTGTTGGTTTTTTTTTTTCCTGGGTCTGGCTTTCCCTTCAAAAAAAGAGCTTGTAGTGCTATTTTTTTTTTCTTTTTAGTGGTCCATCACAATAAGTAGTTTTGTGCTGTAAAAGAAAAATGAAACAAAAAAAAAAAGAGGAAAAAAGGGAAGAGGGAGAGGAGGCAAAGCTGCCCCTTCCTTACATCGGGGGAACGACAAGACCAGTCATGGCTGCAAAAGAAAATGGACAAAAAGATGAAATTGTGGCAAAATGCTGTGGAACAAAAGATATTTGAGCCCTTCACCCCCTTGTGTGAAGTCAGGAAGGGCCTGAGCTGAGGTTAAATTTGAGATTTGGTGTCTTTGGATGGTTTGATGGTGAAGTGAGAACAGAGATGGTGAGAACTGCCCGTGACACAGGCAATGGCAAAGTGATACTGCAGAGTGAATTCAACAAAGGGAAGGAATTCCTCCCTGGGAGGGTGGGGAGGGGCTGGGATGGGATTCCCAGAGAAGCTATGGCTGCCCCTGGATCCCTGGAAGTGTCCAAGGCCAGGCTGGAGCAACCTGGGCTAGTGGAAGGTGTCCCATGAAAAGCCAAGGCCCACTGTGGTTATAAACGAGTAAAAGAGGATTCATTCACTTGTATTTTCAGTATTTGTATTTTCAGCAAAGTCCACCCATTTTTGCATCCTTATCTCCTGAGATGGACATTGCTCAGAACTGCCGCAAAAATTCAGAGTTCTCCCCCTTTCTCGAGCTGAACAGTGAAACCCATCCCTGAAAACTCAAACTGAGCAGGGTCTTCCCTTCCCACCTGCTGGCAGGAAGGGCTGTGCTGCGAGCAAGGAGAGATGTGGGAGCAAGGGAATTCCCTCCGTGCTGCTGAGGGGACCCAACCTAGGAATTCGAAGTCCGAGATCACTGGGCAAGGCCCAGGGCTGGGCTTTGCTAATCCCAGAATCCCAGAATCAGCTGGGTTGGAAGGGACCTCCGAGATCATCCAGTCCAACCCCTGATCCAACCCCGCCGTGGTTCCCAGCCCATGGCACTGATGCCACATCCAGTCTCTGCTTAAAAACCTCCAGGGATGGAGAATCCACCCCTTCCCTGGGCAGCCCATTCCAATGGCTGAGCACCCTCTCTGCAAAGAAATTCTTCCTGATCTCCAACCTAACCCTCCCCTGGCACAGCTGCAGACCCAGCCCTCTTGTCTTGCTGATGGTTGCCTGGGAAAAGAGACCAACCCCCCCTGGCTCCCCCCTCCTGTCAGGGAGTTGCAGAGAGTGAGGAGGTCTCCCCTGAGCCTCCTCTTCTCCAGGCTGAGCCCCCCCAGCTCCCTCAGCCTCTCCTCACAGCACTTGTGCTCCAGTCCCTTCCCCAGCCTTGTTGCCCTTCTCTGGACCTGCTCCAGCCCCTCCATGTCCTTCCTGAGCTGAGGGCCCAGAACTGGACACAGCACTCCAGGGGTGGCCTCACCAGTGCTGAGTCCAGGGGCAGAATCACTTCCCTGGCCCTGTTGGCCACCCTGTTCCTGAGCCAGGCCAGGATCCATTGGCCTTCTTGTCCCCCTGGGCACACTCTGGCTCCTGTTCAGCTCCCTGTCCATCCCCACTCCCAGCTCCCTCCCTGCCTGGCTGCTCTCCAGCCCCTCTGGCCCAGCCTGGATCTGCCGGGGGTTGTTGTGGCCAAAGGGCAGGACCCGGCCCTTGGTCTGGTTGAACCTCATCCCATTGGAATCAGCTCAACCCTCCAACCTCTCCAGGTCCCTCTGCAGAGCCCTCCTGCCTTCCAGCTGAAGGACCAGCCTCACTGCCCTGCTTGGTTTCCCCATCAGTCTGAAGCCCTGCAGTCGTAGCTGGCAGTTCCCGGAGCTCTGGCCTCGTGTAAATCATTTATTAGTCGCTCTGCCCGCCTTTAATTGCAGTTCTGCTCCTCACAACTGACAACAGCAGCCACGTTTGAAGCTGCCTGGAACTGCTGCTGCTCCCCAAGGTTTGCAGGGCCGAGTGAAGTTTATATGTATTTATATAACAAATGAGTGACTCATATTTTCAAAGGGGCCTCGGTGCAGCGCGAGGTTCCTAATCCTGCAAAGATTTATGGGCACTGAAATTTGTGGGATTATTCCTGTGTTTAAAAGCCCTTTTCCCCCGAGAATTAATTTCACCCTCACGCTCAGAGCATTTAAAAAAATGCTTAGGGCAAGTTCCTCAGCTCACACGAGTCTTTTATCCGAGCTGTGTTTGCAAACAACTGTGGACACGGTCTGTGATTTAATACAATGGGAAAATAAATATTTTCGTGTTTTCTAATGACTGGGGCTGAAGTCCCTGCCAATTTTAGCAGCTAGCTGAAAGAGAAAGTGAAACCAAACAGCCCCAAGTCAAATATCCCCTTCTTTGTAATCGCTTAGGAATTTGTTGTTGTTTTTCAGTTTCGAACCCTACATACATAAACCCAAATAAAACATACATAACCCTAAATAAAACAGGTAAACATTTATAAGCCTGTTAGTTTTTGTGGGTTTTTTTTCAGGGCATTGTGCATTGGAAGAGAGATTTTTTTTGCCAACACTAAGAGGCTGCTCTTTCCTTCTCCTCATCCCCAAGCCCCAAAATTCATCCTGATGGCTGGAGAGCCTTCTCCCTATGGATTCACCACATGCCTTAGAAACTCGATGGAGCCTTGGATTGCTGCCCTGCTCCAGGCTCTGCTGGGCTGGGGAAGAGGGAAGGGGAGTGTGTGGTGCTTCCCACAGGTATCCCAGAGGAACAGGATCCTCCTCACCTGCCTCAGGCAAAATCAGCCAGGTTGGCTCCAGGAATTTAAACTCTGTGTCTGACTAACCTGGAATTTAAACTCCTCTGTGTCTGACTAACCTGGAATTTAAACTCCCCTGTGTCTGACAAACCTGGCCAGGTCTTCTGCCTGAAGCAAATCCAGGAGCACCTGCACAGTCCCTACCTGGGGGAACCTTTTCTCCTGGCACAGGGTCAGCCTGTGGCTGCTGCAGCCCCTGGCATGGCTAAGCATGGCTTAATTTGAGACATTCAGGGGCTGTTGCCAGCGAGGTTTAACTCTGCTCCCAAGGGACTAAGTCCATATTGGCATAAATGCTTTTTTCTTATTGTTAGCAAAGCTGTTTCCACTTTTTTTTAAGCATGGGAAACTTCAGCCAGCAAACAGAAGCAAAGACCCAGCCTGAATTTCTGCCACATCTCTTTAAAAATATTTTCATTCTTGCAGATGCAGAATTTTGGGAAGTTCATTAGATTGAAGAGAAAGTACATTTTTTACTGTATAATTAAAAATATTAATTATAAAAAAAATTAAAAAAAAGATGTGCACTGGCACAGGTTACCCAGAGAAGCTGTGGCTGCCTCATCCCTGGAAGTGTCCAAGCAGGTTGGAGGGAAGGACCTGTGGAATAGTGGAAGGTGACCCTGCCCTTGGCAGAGGGTGGCACTGGGTGAGCTTTAAGTCCCCTCCAACCCAAAGCATTCCATGATTCCATGTTTATCCAGCAGTCCTGGGCTCAAACTAGTGATGGCAGCAGTAGAACTGCACTCAGGGGTGTGTTGTCACCCCTCGGGTCTGCTGATCCCTAATTTCCCTCCCTTCCTTTCCTCCGGGGCAAGTAGAATTCCCTCTTTTTCCTCTCCTCACTTTTGCACCCCCAGCCCAAATATTTTGTCATTCCAGGCTGTAAGTGCTCCATGGAAGTTGCCAGGATGACCCTGCCAGAGCCCAAACTCGGGTAAGACTTTAAAATAACCCAGAAAAGCCCAATTGTGTCACTGGCATTTCATCTCCTGCTGCAACAAAGGCCAAGTCAGTTGAGGAATATTGCCTGGAATTCTCCCCTGGCTTCCCCCAGCTCATCCAAAGGCTTTGCTCTGTGCTTCCCTCTCCTTTCACACCCCCTCCCCTGCCCATTTCCACCCCACCTCCACCCCCCGTTGGGGCTGCACTGTCAAAAGCCTATTCCCAGCCTGGATGGCTTTTTATTGAATGTTTGTGAGGTTTGGATTAAGGTCTTACACTGCAAGCAAAGCTGTAATTATTTTTGCCTGTATTACTATATATTGAATCGATGTAACTTTTCAATAAAGGTGGTTCAATGCAGGACACTCCCAGATGAGTTGGGAATATAGAAACCACAGTCATTATCCCAGAGGGTTTTTTTTCTTCTTCTTCTTTTTTTTTTCTTTTCCTCTTGGAGGGAAATGGAAAAAGAATTAGAGATGAGCCTTATTGTATTAACCTTGACAGCTTGCAATTATCAACTGAAACACTTGATTAAAATTGTCACAAGGTTGGAGAATTTTTTTATAAATAAATAATCAAACACGGGTAGTACCCAGATGCTGTGGTGATAGGCACCTTTAATGGGTGTAATTAATAATGATCATAAGCCTGGTGGGTACAAGTAGCCTTTGAAAATGCTGCCTTGGAGTGGGAAAGGACTCTCTGCAATTCCAACAGGCATTTGGTGACAACTGGGAAGGGGCTTAGTGCTGAATCATGGAATTCTGGAATGCTTTGGGTTGGAAGGGACCTTAAAATCATCCAGTGCCACCCCCTGCCATGGGCAGGGACACCTCCCACTAGCCCAGGTTGCTCCATCCTGGCCTTGGACACTTCCAGGGATCCAGGGGCAGCCACAGCTCCTCTGGGAATTCCATCCCAGCCCCTCCCCACCCTCACAGGGAGGAATATTTTCTTAGTGAAAAGGCAGATTTTTGTTTTCTCTCATTAAAAATAGAGCTCTTGTCTAGCCTGTGAAACGGGAAGAGCGACTCAAATGACCATCCCAAAAAATGAGAAAATAATTAGTTAATTAAAATTTTGTTTAGTTGAGAGATATTTCAAACTTCTTGCTGACACCTCAGGTTTTATTTGTTTCTAAGCAGTCTGGGCCACTTCTACCTCTGCCCATAAACAGGGCAGGAAAATGTCCTTGATCCTTCTGAGGTATCAAATTTAATCAGATGATAAATACATATTTTTCATATATATTGACATAGTTTATATATGATTTGCAGACCTAAATCCCTGTCTGGGCTCTGGAATCATTCTGGTTCAGGCAGGAGCACATTGCTGAAAATGTGGAATCAGTCCTGTCATTTTTACCTGGTCAGAGTCTCTGCTGAGAGTTATTTTGAGATGCTGTGTCTGAAGTGTTGACAAATCCCACCCCTTACAAGGCTTCCAGAGCAACTCCTTTT